TAAAGAACAAAGAACTGCTATTAGACTGGTTGTAACGTAAACGTCATCAATCATACTTAATCTAATATAATAAATAATAAACAATGCATACAGAAGAAATACAACACGGATACTGCTAAATTCCAGGTTATTGAATACAGCGTTGCAGTGTGTTGCGATTTGCATTTGCCTGTACTTTTAACTACGTTTTTCTCGAATATGGTGAACTTTCGAACAAGCAAACATTCGCATAATTTTCTTGTTATATTGTGCTCTATCACCTCTTGCAAGGTTGCTACTTATTCTAGAAACACCGTAATTAATTTTATATTTTATAGGTTTATATTTTTATTCGTTTCTGATTTATAAAGCAGTAAACAAATCTGCGTGCGTCTAATTTATAAATCAAAAAAGAAATTAAGTTAAACCACCATTCCAAACATTACATATACACAGTAAAACTGACTAAATTTTCATTGTTTTTTATTACATTTTATTCTTTATCAAATTGTCACTGTCAATCTAATTTTGAAGTCTGATTGTTTATCATCTGACTATTAATCATTTATGTTAACTAGTGAAAGTTTGCATGGGCTTCGCGTGCCTTATTACTTTACTAAATTATTCTTCCGATATAGAAAACACCACGCGTTGTGGTACGCCGTTTTATTATCTAATGGAAAAAATTTTATCAGGAAAAATTAAAGAAAACTTTTTTTCTCTTAAATGGAGCTGAGAAAATTTTTATTTAATTTTCATTACATAAATGTCAATAAAAATTGATAAAAATTATCTAGTACATTAATTTAATTCAAAATGTTCAATTAGTAGTACATATTCCATGGCATAGTAATAATTTACCTCATAAGATGCATGTAATAATAGAATTATTATCTATTTAATGTTTACTTCAAAATAGTCGTACTGAAGGCTGAATAATTAATATGAATTTTGATTATGTAGGTAGATTTGTTTATTTTAAATTACTAATAAAATATAAAGTATAAAACATTTGTGAAAATATAAAATATAAAACATTTGTGAGTTAAACTGAATTAAAACTTCATATATAGGTCGGTAGGCAATAAAAATTTAGAATTAAAAATATGTACACAATTTTAATTGTGAATTATGTGTAGCTACAGAGTATTTCAGGAGGAATGACAACCCTTTTGGGAAATGACAGTTCTGAATAAAGTTCTTTGTTTATACATTTACTAAATCAGTAGAATATTACAGCAGATCAGCACCAATTAGGCTATGAGCTTACTTGAATAATGCCTACAAAGGGGTGGTGCTGCCGAGTTTAAAAAAAAAGCCGTCACAGGAAGTCTGACAGATGTGAAACAATTTTGAATAGAAATACACATGAACGGATGGTTTATTGTAGTTGATCGTGTGTCATAGTGTAATTTCGCTTTGTCTGCACCAGAGTGCTTTCTTGAAACACCCTAAACATTTAAAATTTATTTATCCATCCTTGGAGACAGGATCGTCATGGTGTAATTGAGTTTGTGTCGGATAGCAGAAAAACATCTAAACTTTTGGGTGTTTCATTCCCACCAGCCACTAATGCTGGTGGGCGGGCAGTCCCTCCGGACTACACCGAAAGGTAAGGCGGAAGGCCCTCTTCAGCCACCTTTCAGGAATCGTCGGAATGGGTGGGGGGTGGTTCGGATGAGAAAGATGAGGCGGATGAAATGAATACAGAAGAGAATGAAAGATTATCTGTGGAATATTACTGCCCCAGCATTTGCCTAAGTGATCCAAGGAAACCACAGAAAAAATTTACTAATAATTACGATCAAACTAATGAGTAACATGACTTTCCTTAACTGGGTTAGGCAGTAGCAATTTAGAAAATTACTTACGAACTACTACAACATTNGCGGATGAAATGAATACAGAAGAGAATGAAAGATTATCTGTGGAATATTACTGCCCCAGCATTTGCCTAAGTGATCCAAGGAAACCACAGAAAAATTTGGACCAAAGCAGACGGACCCGGAATCGAACTGGCGTCCTTCCGAATCCTAAGCAAAAATTCAATGCATTAGTGAACTAGTTTTTGTAAATAGTTGTTAACAAACTAAAAATTGTGCATTTTTTGTGAATAACAAATAAAAAACCTTTCTTCGGCATAAAAATCTCGGAAAAATATAAAGAAATTTCGAGAACAAATACACCAAGTAAAAAAAATCGTACGTATATCAATGCTGCCTTTTTCATAACCTATCGTTCCACTACAATCATATCAGTTTAAATCACGCAGTAAATTTTAAGAACCAATCAGATCACCAATAAAATTAGACACTTTGGTGTTGAAATCGATCATATGAATTCAAGTATTTCAACGTCAAGTTTAAACTTAAGTCATTTGCTATATAAATATAGTATAATATATATTTATGGTTTTATATCCTTTACAAAAATATAAATAAAAGTGATTTCAAGTAAATACTTTATGTTTCGTGTTATTTACAGTTGCGTCACCAGCGGTTGTATCTATGTATTATATTTACAGCTATTTACATTTCCTATCAAAACAAAATAAAACGAGGCGGTTGATAGACAAAAAATTGTACTTACTTGTTTTTATTTTTGTGGATATAATGATTGAATATCAAGAAAAGTAATAGCATATTATTGTCATCCTGGTGTATTTGTAAGTTGTCCATACGTCCCGCTTTGGGCGGGACAGTCCCGCTTTCGCAAACAGACCAAACAATATCCACTTAACGAACTTTCCTATAATTATTGAGTACGTCTTGTGTCAGTAACACGAAAGAGTCTTTTCTCAAATGAACAAAATATGAACGAGTAGAAGAGGACAGTTGAGCGTCTCAGTATTGAAAACCATTTTGATAACAAAGATTAACATAAATAAATCGTGTGTTGAGGTCAATTCGTAATTAAAAACGAAACCGGAGGTTTTAAATAAGATTTTTCAGCCGACAAGTATAAAATACAGCCTTACTAAAAGTAATGTAACGTACCCTTTTTTAATAAAAAAATTGTAAAATAACAAATTTTTTTACATAATTCTATTACGGACGTCCCGCTTTTACAAAAAAAATATGGTCACTATGTATATGCTATCTGGATGATGGAAAATAATTATCTTATTATCATTTTAATACCCACTAAACCCATCAAATTATGACAGTATCCAAATTATACATACTATTATAATTTATTTTATTTGTTGATATTATAATTTTGATACAAAAATTATGGGTAAGAAGAGAATAAATGCTTTAAAAGAAGTGATTAAGTCATTATTAGTTTTACATGAAATTGTTATTTAGTTTTGACCCAAACAGACATTTCTTTTAAAGTTGTTGCATGTGCCTGACTAAATGGAAAATACTGTAAATATAATCTAAATCTATTATGGAAAAAAATTTATTCACACGTTGTCTTAAAATGACTTATAAGACAAATCACTCAGTAAACAAATTTATAAACAGTAATAACGATAAGTAATGCTACTAAAGAAAAATTACCGAGAGGTTACAAATTAACTTGTGGGTTCCTAAACTCTAGGTAGGACAAATGCAGAGTATTCGCAAACAGCTATTANAATAAACAAAAAGGTTAGAAGAATAAAAATTGATGTTACAGTGGAATGGTGAGGATACCGTGCATACAGAAGGTTAGAATTGAAGAGGTATTAGAAAGAATAGGAAAACAGAGGGCTCTATGGAAGTCAATAAAAAATAGGCGAGATAGGTTGGAAGAACTCCTCCTCAGGCATGAAGGTCTAGTCAAAGAAAGAAGCAGGAGATAAGAGGATTAGATGTAGAACTAGATTAGATTACTATTCGCAAATAGTTAAGGATGTGGGATGTTCTAGTTTTAGGGAAATAAGAAGATTAACCCAGGATAGGAAAGAGTGGAGATGCGTGTCTAACCAGTCTTAAGACCTTATGATGATGATGGTGATGATAAGAAGTAAACAATACAAGTTATAACTTAAGTTAATTAATAAATTGTAAACTAAGGTATACTGTTAAGTGACTAATTGAATTCAATTATTCCAATCTCCTAAACCTGTTTGGTCAAATATATATTGTTACTAAATAAAATAATTATTAAAAATCGTAAAATTACACCATGTCGCTTCCGTCTCTAATTCTATTTTTTGATAATTGTCATTACCATTTATCCTTAGAAGATAAAAATTGATTCCCGTTTACTCAAAAACTGGCTGTTCTACTGTCCTAGCACAGCGAGTTTGGACTTCGGTTAACGCAGAATTTGAATTAAGAAATATGAAACAAATATTGTAATGACAATTCAAAACAGAAATAAGTTTCTGGATGGGGTAGGTTTCAGCCCACTCTTATTTAATCCTTTTTTAATTCCGATAGAAATATATGCAATGCAAGGACTTAAAAAACAGTTCATAAGAACTAGTCAACTTAACAACACCAGAGATTCAGATCCATTAAAGGTAACTAACCAGCAGTGGCTTTCACGAGATATTTAACTGTCGACACCAAACATGCTAAACTCTAATAAAAAAAGTTGAACAAAATAAGTAAAGCATTGTAGTAGTAACGTATATTCAGTATTCCATTGTTCATTTTTTCAGAAAATTTCTGTAGCATACCAACTATATGGACATAGTTATACCATCTACTATTTATATAGTAGTACTAATGGATGTTATAAATTGTTGATTATAATTGTGCATTGAAAATCACCACTCTCTTGCTTAACACCCGCAGCATTTGTTATTGGTAAGTGGTTCGTGTATAAATATCCCCAGGGTGTCAGCTGTGATATTGTTTAAAGCTGTCTATTGCAAGTAATTAAAGTGCTTTTATCAGTACCGATACCGATTCAGACAAAACCTCTGAGAAAATAAGTCAAACTTTTCCGTAAGTTTCTCAATTAAATTTTGGAGCTCACCTTTATAATGCATGACAGCGAGATCAACATTATCATTTTTCAGATTATGTCAAGTGTTTTTTATTTCAACAAATCGCTATCAGACGAACCGATCTTCACACTTAAGGCATAAATACATCGAAGATCGAATTCTCAATTGTCATTTTGTCAAAGATGTCAACTAAAAGTCTAATAGTGAGTTTGGTCCTGTTGCTTGTCCATACATCGTCAGGTAAGCTATTTAGGTAGATGCAATTACGGTAATTACTTGAATTTTTCATGATTAGAATTTAAACAAACAGATTGTATGCGTGGTTAATTTGCTGGCCAAGTGGTATTCTTAGATTGTAAAATAATAAATAAGAATTAACGCATTAACATGAGTTGTTGTACTTAAGATCCTTACTTTCATATTTGCTCATTTACTATTTTACAATATACGAAACGCGTTTGGCTTGACGCTCACTATTATTATTTATGTTATTAGTGTTGTCAATGTGAGACCCAAAGAAAGATACTTCAAATTACAAAATATTTATGCCTAAATGCAAGAAAATGTTTGCTTAATTTTGTAAAATGCTAGATGCTTCAATTAATGAATTATTGTTAAATTTAAGTTACTATTAAATTATGTAGTTTTTTCCATGGTGGTCAAATAATTACACAGCTATATGTTTTTTGTAACGTTTCGGTTTATTCAACCCTCTTCAGGCTTTTGAAGTGTTACTGTTTGTACACAGATATTAACTGCATACCGATGCTGTTGTTCAACATGATAGAATGTTTAAAGATAAATTAATATCTGTGTACAAGCAGTAACACTTCAAAAGTCTGAAGATGATTGAATAAACCGAAACGTTACACAAAACGTATGGTTGTGTAATTATTTGGCCGTCACCCTGGAAAAAACTACATAATTATTGTTAAAGTAAATTATGGTTCTCAATGTGAAAGTCACACTTAGACGAATTAGTGTTTTGCGTTTAGCAATTTATGACATAATATATTTAAAGTAAAACACTAAACACTTATGATTTATTGTATTGTTTCATGAATTTTTATTTGTTTATATATTTTTTTAACTAATCCATTGCTCAGGTGAACAATGCAAGGCACTGTCGTTTCAACGCTTGTGTGTCACCGATGGCAGCAATGTGGTGCTCGAAAACGAAAGGCTGTCAATGACTATCAACAAAGCAAAGGGACAGATCACTGCACTTTATTTCAACTCGCGTGTTGATAGTAGTATCAAATCAACGAACTTGCTGAAAGGCGGCTCTGGCTATTACCTTGCCAATATTAATGTAAACGGCAAGAGTTCTGCGGTTGGGCCTAATGTGGGAAGTATGAAAATAACACAGGATGTAAGTGCAAAGGCAGCAATGTGAAATACAAAACCTTTTTTAGAAGTTAAATAGTCGACGATACCTTCTTTCAACACTCTGTCAATTTTCGGCTAGAAACTTAATTACACTTATTTTTTGAATGAAGGAAACCTAACAGAGTTAAATAATAACTATCATTAAATAAAGAATTTAGCATCTAACACCGTTTGAGTCAAACATGACTAATTTGATTTTGTTTTAATTTATTCCGTCACAACTCCTGCTGTAACTTTTTCAGACGGTCTTTTATTATAAATAAAATAAAATTAATGACTACTTACAAAATAGTAACATTCTTAACTAACCGTAACGTGCACCTTTAATTAAAAAACATTACTAACTATTTCTAAGGTAATATTAAATATTGGATTTATTAAATTATTTTTTATAAGTGTGATCAACTTCCAAGAAACTCATAATATTTAATGTTGATCAACTAAATGAACGTTAATTGAAAAGGACCTTTTCAATTATATACTTTTGGGTTGGCTGTAATTTGAAAAAAGATAATAATTAAGATTTTCTTGATTAACCAGGCTGACCATATCGACCTTGCATTCACAAACAAGGACACAAGCACCTGGCCAATTAATTTCGAGTTTCACTTGGTCCTTCAAAAGAATTCATCCATATTTTACTATTACTCTATTCATAAGTATTTGAAAGAGGGTTACACTGCAGAGCAGCTAAGATGGGCGATAAGGGCCAGCGCGGACATATTCAAGTACTATAGTGTCGACGGAAAGAGAGCGGGCACTATGCCCAAACAGAAAGATATAGACTCGGCTGAGGTTTTACAAGATTGGACATACAGGTTCAAAGATGGATCAGTTTATTCAAAATATCAGCAAATATCGTCAAATGAAAACATAAACACTGTGTTCGGTATATACGGTGATCGCATCGGACTGTCTCTACTGCAGACACACAAAGAGTGGCTCAGTGGCGGACCATTCAAGCAGGTTAGTCATCATTAGTTTAATACTAATTGAGGTAACTGAATTTTTACCTTCAGTATTTATTTCTTTATCATCATCATCATAAGGTCGTCAGTCCTAAGACTGGTTGGACACGTACCTCCACTCTTTCCTATCCTGAGCCAAACTTCGCATTTCCCTATAACTAGAACAGCCCACATCCTTAACTATTTGCGGACAGTAATCAAATCTAGGTCTACCTCTACCCCTCCTAACTCCTGTTTCTGCCTCTAATATGTCTCTGATTAGACCTTCATGCCTGAGAAGGTGTCGTACCAACCTATCTCGACTATTTTTTACTGACTTCCATAGAGTCCTCTATTCTATTCACCCGTACAACGTCGTGCTCCAAACATACACCTTTAACAACCTTTTTCGAATTTCTAAATTAACTGTTCGCGAGCATAGGAGTGACTTCTTTTTATTAAAGGCGACACGACCCTGCGCTATCCTCTGCTTTATATCCCTACTACTCCTCCCATCCTGACTTATCTGACTTCCTAGGTATCTAAAATCAGCCACTTCTTCTAATTTTTCGTCTCCTATCTTTATATTCGTTCTTTCCCTACTTTTTCTTCCCTTGCATACCATTATTTTAGTTTTACTTTTATTTATTTTCATACAGTACTGATGTGTCAGTAACGCTTCCATTTTATTTAAAGCTATATCTAGGTCCTCCTTGCTAGATGCTAATACAGCTATATCATCTGCAAATCTAAGCATACTAATATTTTGCCCTTGCACATCTATCCCTACAGTTGTACTGTCTTTAGTGATGTTGATGTATAGATTAAAAAGTAGCGGTGACAGTGTGCATCCCTGCCTGACTCCCTTCCTAATATTTACTTCTCTACGTTGCATCCCTAGCTCTATAACTGCCTGTTGCTCTTTATACAAACTAAGTATCACTCTTCTATCTTTGTAANCGTTGCATCCCTAGCTCTATAACTGCCTGTTGCTCTTTATACAAACTAAGTATCACTCTTCTGTCTTTGTAGCTCATTCCTAAATTTTTAAGTATATTTAACATCTTGTTTATTTCTATAATACACATTAAAATGAATCTATATATTTAGTTAATTACCTAAATAAAAGCTTTGAGAGAATGCTGAATTTGACTGATCTATTCAAAGCTTAGTTTTTATTCTGCTTGATGAATTTTAAAATGGATTTCACTGTATGGAAAATTTTTATACTAAACATTTCAAATAACCGGTAATGATTTCAGTTAATTTCAGTTCTTGCAAATGGATTAAACCATTATTGATTGTGAATAGATAATAATTATACGGTCTTCAGCCCGCAGACTGGTTGGATATGCAATTCCACTTCTTTCAATCTTGGGTCAATCTTCGCATTTCTTGAATATTATATCAGACAATCTATCTTGCCTGTTTTTTATTGATTTCTATAACGCCCTCTGTTAGAGTAGATAATATCTCTATAAACAGTATGGCCGAGTCGAGATTTATGTTAAATAGCGTTAGATTCAGTAAAGGCTGATTTTTCCATGTGTTTCTTTCGTAGTTTATCTTTACATACCTACTATACCTTTAGCAAAGCAACAAATTTAGATTAAAATATTAATGGGAAAAGTTATTTTAAGTTTCAACCACTACAAACTACCTCAAGTTAATGAGGGAAAAATTTGTTGCTGTTGTCTCACGCTTGCCGGGAATCGAACCCGGGACCTTTGGCTTTACGCACCAATGCTCTGACTTCTAAGGTACAAGACAACAGCAACAAATTTTTCCCTCATTAACTTGAGGTAGTTGGTAGTGAGAGAAAATTAAAATGAATTTTCACATTAATGTTTTATATTAACCCCTATTAAATGTCAAAATGTTTCATAATTCAATTTAAATTCTACAGACAAATTAATACATAACAAATAAGAAGCTCGCAGCGCGGACTTTTGTTCTTTTATCATATATTTAAATATTGATCATTTGGATAAAGTTGGTATGGATAAAATAATTCGGATCAACCGTTTCTCCAAGCAACATTTATGAATCCATTGTTCTAGGATTTGACGACACACACCGGACAAATGCTGCTTTTCCACGAACACTCGGGACACTATGGCACTCCAGAACTGGTACCCACCAAGGGATGGAGCAAAGTGTACGGTCCGATCGGCTTCTATCTTAATGATGGTAAAAGCCTTTCGGAAATGTATTCTGACGCTCAGAATAAACTCAATGAAGAGGGGAAGAAGTGGCCGTACAAGTTTGTCACCGCATCAGAGTACAATGCACAAGGGAGAGGCAGTGTATCGGGAGTACTTAAAGTGGATGGGTCGCCGAATAAAGAGTGGGTATGGCTTACTCTGACAGACCCTAAGGTTGATGATCCTCAGTTAGAAACGGCTACTTACATGTATTCCGCAGTGGCAGGAAAAAATGGTAATTACATTCAAATTATATATTAAATATATAAAGTAATTGATTAAGATTTAGATAAGATGTGATATATTCACTAACTTTTAGATCAATTAATCTAAACTTCATTTATTTTTAATTTTTTAACTTAATTAATGCACATTAGAAACAATTTCCCACATTAGACTAAACAAATTATTAATCAATTATAGTTAAAAGATCTTAAAAATACTGAAAATATAAATTACTATCAGGTGACTTCAAAATACCAGCTGTAAGGCCAGGGACGTACAAGCTGCAAGTAATAGCTAAGGGTGTGGTTGGAAAATACATTCAGACCAATATTCGTGTACAACAGAAGGAGAATAATAATCTTGGCACGATCAATTGGAAGCCGGAGAGCCATGGCAAATTGCTCTGGCAGATCGGTGTACCTGATAGAAATTCGGCTGAGTTCAGATTGCCAGCTGGTTTTCCATCACCTATCCCTAATTTAGCAGGTACTTTTTTATTTTTTTACCGTAGTGATTTTCTAGTCTAATATTCACAGACTATAAAGTAACGCAAGAGAATAAACACATGTAGGATTGTCACGTGGAATGACAAGTGTAGAAATCTCATTCTCGCAATTGTTTGATACATTGATAAGTATGATCACCATGCAAGAACTTTTATTTATAACATTATCGCATCCAAAACTCATTTGGATAGATAATAATTACAATGTTTAGTAACCTAAATCATTAAGTTACTCAATTTAAGAATACAAAATATAACTCTTAAAAGGTTGTGTATTGCTAAAATTTCATGTGGTTAAAAAAACACTAGCAAATTTATTTTGAAGGCGGAATAGTGTTTAACTTATGGTTTATGTGTTGGGAATTGCTAATTCAAAATTTCTATTTAGAATGCACTACAAAAACGAATAGCCTGCATTATAATGTTAATTTAATTTTAATTACAAATTGTGATAATTTGTTAGAGTACCGCAAGTTTGGCACATGGCTCAGATATTCCAAAACTTTTCCTAACGATCCAGACTTCACAGTAGGCAGCAGTGACGCGTCTAAAGATTGGTGCTATTTCATGCCTATGATTAAGACACCTGGCTCCCCTGCCCAGCTTAAACTCGTCAATGTCACCCAAAATACGCAACCTACCAACTGGAAAGTCAGATTCGACTATAGTGGATCAACCTCAGGCACCGCTACATTGACCGTGGGATTAGCTGCTAATGTCAAAGCCGGAATTCGTGCGCTGATCAACGGCAAGGAGATTCTTAAAGTGGTCAATTTTGATGGGCCGAAGGCAGATTCTGCGCTGTTTCGTCAGACATCGCATGGTATATACCGCCAGCAAAGTGTGACGTTCAATAAGTCACTGCTAAAATCCAAGAATATTCTAGAGTTCACACCTCCCGGCGCAGTAAGTCAAAATCATTTTGACAAAATGGTGATGTGGGACTTTTTAAGAATGGAAGTCAGTAATTAATTGTGTTTTCGTATGTTATACAAAAATTTTGTTACCTACTTAATAATTATCAATGAATAAAGATTTGTCTGTTTTGAGTTCCAGCACACTTTCGTGATATTATTTTTGTCGCTTGTATTGGCATAAACTAAAAGTAATGAATGCGTATTGAGTGTAAGGTTTTCTGCAAATATGACACTATTTATGCTTAGAAGAATCATCATCATAAAGTTGTCAGTCCTAAGACTGGTTGGACACGTACCTCCACTCATTCCTATCCTGAGCTAAACTTCGCATTTCCCTAAAACTAGAGCAACCCACATCCTTAACTATTTGCGATCAGTAATCTAACCTAGGTCTACCTCTACCCCTCTTAATACCTGTTTCTGCCTCTAACATGTCTCTGACTAGACCTTCATGCCTGAGAAGGTGTCCTACCAACCTATCTCGCCTATTTTTTATTGACTTCCATAGATTTCTCTGTTCTCCTATTCTTTCTAATACATCTTCATTTCTAATCTTTTCTACCCACGTTATTCTCATTATTTGCCTATAACACCACATTTCGAAGGCTTCTAACCGTTTCTTTTCCGCCGCGCCCACTGTCCATGTTTCGCATCCGTACAACGCCGCGCTCCAAACATACTCCTTTAACAATCTTTTTCGAATTTCTAAATTAACCGTTCGCGAGCATAAAAGTGACTCCTTTTTATTACAGGCGACGCGATCCTGCGCAATACTCTGCTTTATATCCCTACTACTCCTTCCGTCCTGACTTATCTGACTTCTTAGATATCTAAAATCAGCCACTTCTTCTAATTTTTCGTTTCCTATCTTTATATTCGCTCTTTCCCTACTTTTTCTTCCTTTGCATATCAGTATTTTAGTTTTACTTTTATTTATTTTCACACAGTACTGATCTGTCAGTACCGCTTCCATTTTATGTAAAGCTCTCTCTAGGTCCTCCTTGCTAGATGCTAATATTGCTATATCATCTACAAATCTAAGCATACTAATTTTTTGCCCCTGTATACCTATTCATACAGTTGTACTGCCTTTAATGATGTTGATCGCGCTTAAAAGAATAAATAAACAAATTGACGGAGTGAAAAACAGAGGAATGAAAATAGTGCAGACTGAATTAAAGGGAACGTTTCAGATAAAATGACTGAATGGGATTGACTTATTGTCTTATTTTTAGTTGGAAGAATATTTATGAATTTGAAATTTTAGAGAAAATTGAAAGGGTAGGAGAAGATTCGTAGGATTTTAGTTTAGCCTAATTCGAAGGAAACCCAGCAATTTAGGATAAGTGACTGTGAGGAAAGTAATTGGCGTATGTGAAATAATCACGGAATTGAGAAAAAGGTCACCTTCTGCTGCGACGGTTAGTTGGTATAATCGTGAAGGTTCGAATAAAGCCAGTTGAGAGTGCAATAGGACAGATTCGAGAAAGACTTATAAGAGAGTAAAGAAGTTGAAGATGAAATTGAAAGAGAAACTGAACGTTAAAAGTAAACACAAAAAAATGCTACATTATTACATTATGTAATATTTCCTCTCTTGAGGCCTTCTGTACCGGCTCCTAAAGTGGTACCGAAAATGGAAACTTTCCATTAACCAAACCAAATCGGAAGCAATTTTTTTCTCGTAAGACCCGAAAACCTCCCTCCGTCTTAGTAAACAACGGTCCCACCAAGTGGAGCAACTCTGTCACCTACCTAGGCGTCGTCTTTTATAGGACCCTAAACTGGCGGCTCCACATCGCAACCACCCCTAACAAGGCTATGGGTGCATTTATCGCACTCAAGCCTTTCTTCCGAAACGATTCCTAACAAACGAAAATCCGTACGTTTAAAGCAATAATCAGGAGCATTTGTTCCTATGCCACTCACGTCTAGAGCTGCGCCCTTCCTCACCGCCTGAAACCTCTTTAAGGCACCTATATGCGGATCCTTTGTTCCGCACTAAACTTCTCAGGTTCATCAGAAACACCCAAATTCTGAAATAAATTGGTTTAGCTTCTCTCCCTGAGGCTGCAATCTCATTCGCAGCAAATCATCCTCAGTGGTAGGCCACACAAATCCCACCATTTCGACACTCCCCAATTTCGCCCCGAGATCAAACGACCGTTTCCGAAGACCCCGTCACCTTCTACAATGAACCACTCCCTTTCGCTCACTCCTAGCTTCGCTTTTCAGCGCGAATTCCTACCCATCACTACAGAGGCGGACCACATATCCTGACGGTTCTCCCCCCACAATCCCCCTACCCTTAATAATTTTCCCTTCTCAACCCTCTCCGAAATCCCAACCTTCCATTCTTTTCTCGGGGATGAGTAACCCTCAGGGTTTATCTCCTCACTCGAGGAGGGGTTCTAGTAGGCAAAAATCCGACACTACCCCCCTTCAGGGGGTGTCTTTTGAAGACTTCCCCTCTTCCACGAAAACAAAAAAAAAACAATCAAAAATTAGCTATTAGCTCCAGTAGCTACCTTTAGCTCTAGTAGCTAGTTTATATATCGCCTACGGACACTATTATTCTGATGCCACGAGCAGGCCGCTCGGCAAATGAATACCGGTACCACCATCGAGAAAAAGAGAGGACAATCGCTGCCGCCCGACGCCGACCGATACCGACGCCAAAACCCCACGGAACAGCCTTCCACCACGGCTTGGACGCCGTCTTCAGGGAACTAAGCACTGGTTACGCGCCGAATCTGTGCCTTTCCGCTGTTGACGGCGACGCGGCGCCGACCGTCGCCGTCAGGACGCCACACCGATTGCCGCCATCTACATCGATAGCTCTACGGACGCCGCCGAAGCTCCGCGGCTGGCCGCCCTCAATTTGGGACCGTTAATAAGACTGCCGTCGCCACCGCCGCCCCTTTTCTCGCCACTATCACCGATACCGCCCCACCCGACACAGTGACAGTCCCGAGCGAACGTGACAAATGTACTGATTATTAATCAATAGGTACGTGTACATTCACTGGACATTTGCTTAAAACTAAAGCACTTGTATAATATAAATCTTAGTGATATATGGAACAGAAAAAATTAAAAACACATATAACACCACAAGTTTCGTGGGCCCATTCCTCACAAATTTTACACACATACCAATCCTCAACGCTTTCTGAATATTCTCCTTTACAAATGTTGTATTTATCGTCTCCTTTATCCTTTGGCCAGCTATTGTGCCGTAGTAATGGGATAAATGTATCGATCTCAAAAATCTTATCAGTCGCCCCAGAATCGGAATTTAACCAGGAATCGTTGCTGCTACTGCTACTTGCAATAGTCAGTTTCTATGCAGCCTTATCCTTTCTAGAGACTTTGACACTTTTCTTTACGTTTGTTTTGGTTTTCTTGCTTTTATTGTTAATTTTGATGTTTCTCGATTCCTTTACTGCCAAATTGTTTTTGATAATTCGTCTTACTTGCGTCAAACTTTCTGTATTGCCCCTGGGTGTTTCCTTCCTTAATAAGCTGTCACATTTTCTAAAAGTAATCATCTTTTTCTGGAGTTTCAGTCATAATTGCAGTTTTGACTTTGCGTTTCTTTCCTCTGCAGCCTAATTTGTTTTCGAGTTCGTGGAAGGTAAGGTGGATTTGAAACTGCTGAATGCGTCACTTCACTCTTGGAAGATTCAGGCTGTGGTTTGTTTGTAATAGAAGGTTCAACTGCTGCTCACTAGGATTAATAGATTCAGTCTGTAGTTTTCTTGAGTGAAGTTCGGTCGCTAGGTGGCTAAACGTAAACAGTGTCTCGTGTATTTTTTAATATTTTTGCTTATTTACTTTATAAATAGAAGGTAATTTCTCATAAGCAAGTTTAGTAAATTAATTAACATAGTGTAGCGACCACGAGCGGGATTGTGTGCGATCGGGCATACGTGTGTGTATTCGCCGACTAGCCGCGGGCCTTTTCTTCATGTGCGCCGTATCTGTAAACGTGTGTGTTGTACCTGCGTTCCGGGAAAGCAATTAAACAGTTCAAAGAAAACGAGACTTTTCCGGACGGCTCGAGAAAGTTCCCGAAAGGGACCAAAAGAGTATTTAAAGGAAGAGACGATTGCCGAAGGAGTAGAAATAAATTGACCGTTGCTGAAGTGAATCAAGAAATAAATAGAAATAGTACAGTAGTATAAATAAATAGAATAATTATCTAAGTTTAGTAATAATTTAATAGTGTTGTTAAGACCTTTAATAATAATTAGTGTAAATAAATAGTTTTTGTCGTTGTGAGTCTTAAAAGTTAATTTGTTAAACCGACGAACATTACAATAGTTAAAATTAAATGCCCATAAAATTAATTGAATATTAAATACATTTACTTTTAGCTTGAACTGAACTGAAATAGATAACTTCAATAATATGAGTATTTTTTGCAAGTTATGCCCAAACAAAGGGCCAATTAAAGCAGATACGGCAGTGAAATGCTCCAAATGTGATGCTTATTATTACCCATCTTGTGCTTCCAGAACTTGGCCGAAAGAAGATGGATCTTTTGAAAAATGTTGCTCTAATTCTTTATCTCAGCCTGCAAAGAACATGACAAGAAGATCTGTCTCCTCTTCAACAATGAAATTGTCTATCGAAGAATACATTACAAAATCCAACAATAAAATGATAGACATTTGTTCAAAAAATTGATTCAGCTTGTGGGCTGCTAGGTCAAAAAATTGATAAGGTTGTGTTTGATATGGCAGATATGAGATCAGAACTGTCACAGTCTGAAATTGAAAACTTAAAGGATCAGATGAAAGAATTTAAAAAAAACTTAAAACAATTTGAAAAAACTTAAAAATGAAAATGATAAAAAAAACATGCTGGATAAAAATGACTGACAATTAGTAGTCGCCTCTATTGAAAGTAAGGTAATGGACGAAATTTTTGGAAGGAAACTAAATGCTAAAAATATTCTCCTCATTAACCAAGAGAAAGGCCAAACTGAGGACTTACAATATGTGCAAAAATTATTAGAGAATACTTTAGTATCAGATAAATTAGTAAAAGTCTTTAGAGTTGGTAAAAAACTAAATAACAAAAATAGACCATTAAAGGTTATACTTAAAAATGGGGAGGATGCAGTATGGCTTTTGAA